CAGCCAAGCACGTCCCTCCCTGGCTGTGCCACGCTACCCCTTCCCGGAGCACCAGGAGCCACCAAAAGCCCAGCTCCCTGACCAGTCTGCAGGTTGCACAGTGCTCAGGGGCTTGAAATCTGCACCTCAGCAGAGCTCGACCCTTCCCAAAGGCTTTTCTACAGCCAATTGAGAGCCAGGAGCTGCAGGGGAGAGGGCTGGAGGTTTCTGCCATCACAGGGGACAATGCTGTGACCACTGGGTGAGGAATCAGTACTTCCACCGAGGACAGCCCAAAGAAATCCTGGATGGAGGCTCTCGCTGCCCCAAGATGTTCCAGCTGATGAAGATGGAGCCCGTGGAGGCCCAGCTGGAGCAGGAGCAGGTCCTCTGCCCTGGCCGTGGGCAAGGAATTTGGCCTTGGATCTGACCGTGTGGCTCCAGGAGGCAGCTCCCATGGCAGGGACCCAGCAAAAGACCAGCACCTCCCTGATGCAGTTTATTCTGCAGATTGAGGGTTTTCCCCATTGTACCAGTACAGAGACAGCAGAAAAATCCCAGTCCAAGAAATCCCAGTACCAGGGAGATGTGGCACAACGCCCTGGCATGGAGGGGCCGGCAGAGCCGGGTGATGCTGCCGGTGCTCCCCTAGCCTGGCTCCAGGATGTCCCTGAGGTGGACACCATTACGGTGGACCCACCGCTCCCTGCTGCCCTGCCAAGGACAGGAATCGCACGCAGGACTTGACACGCTCCCGGCAGCCTCCAGCCCTGCTCAGGGACAGGGCCACCCCTCACCTCCATCTTCCCAAGAGCATCTGTAACCCAGGCTCCCACCACCCCAAGTGCAGGTGCCCATCCCACCCTCTACGCCAGCCCAGAGAATTGTCCCCCCTCTCCTGGAGGGGAAGTGGCTGGATCCAGAGCACCCCGAGTGTTTCTCAGCACCGGTTAAAACAGTTCCACATCCTCAGCATCGTGTTGGCTCTGTCTGGGCTTTCCATGGAGCTGCAGGTCATGCCGCCAGCAGAGAGGACAGTCCCAGCCTGCGCGTGCAGAGGGACAGGGAGGCGGCTGCTCTCAGAGCACGGAGAGGTCATGGCAGGACTTGGAGCGGGCTTTGAGGGCCACTTTGCTGCTGTTCCCAGCCACCAGCCTGTCGAGGACGCGCCGGGCTCTCTTGGTGAGGCTCTCCTTGCGCTTGTGGCTGGGCGCGAGGCACGCGTGGGCCTCCGTGCCTCCGCGGCGCAGGCGGATCTGCCGCACCACCCCCTCGAAGAGCTCGTCGACGTTGTGCTGCAGAGCCGCCGACGTCTCGATGAACTTGCAGTCGAACACCACAGCGCAGGCACGACCCTCTGCAAGGGAAGGGCAGGGAGGTGACACGGCCTTCCCGGCACTCCGGCTGCTGCCACATGCAAGGGGACGGACGCGTGGGACAGACACCAACCCCACCACCGCTCACCTTCAACAGAGACCTCACGGCACCGCACCAGGTCGGTTTTGTTCCCCACCAGGATGATGGGGATGTCCTCAGCCTGTCGCACCC